TCCCCTTTTCTTCGCTTTCATTCTCGGTTGCTCTCTCTATTTCGCTTCATCCCTCTCCCTTTTCTCTCCATTCTCCCTCGTTCTTTCTGTTCGGCTTCATCCATCCGTCTCCCTCTTTCATTTGCAGTTGTCTCTATTTAACCTCATCCCTCTCCCTCTCCTCTCTCCATTCTTATTCACCATTTGCTTCATCTCTCCCGTTTCCTCCCTTTCATCCCCTTATTCTCTACCTTCCGTCTCTCCCTCATCCTCTCTTTCAATGTGACTTCGTCTCTCTCTACCTCGTTTCTCTTCCTTCCTCGACCCCTCTCCATCCCTCTCGTTCCACCCCTTTCCATCACTCCCGTAACCAGCGTTAACAGCGATCGCTTCGCTCACAGTGAAAAATTCAACGGCCGAATTGTTAGGCAACAGCGGAACAACAACGCGCGCCGACTCCGTTACTCTATTATATCGCCGGCGCTCGGCTTGTCGTTAATTAATGAAAAGCCGCTACGCTCATTGGCACTGGCTGCACTCTAAACTCCTTCCTCGTCTCTGTCTCCCTTCTTTCTTTCCCTCTATCTGTTTCCATCCTCGCGTCCCGCTTACAAGCCCCGGTGATATGTTGCTCGCCGCTTCCCCCGCAAGGGTGTCCGGACGGCGGAGGGGGGCCGAGGGAGTCGGAAGCGAAATACAGCGAGGATTTAGGGGCTCCCGGGCGTTATTCAGTCCCCGGGTCCCGCGGAATAGAGTAATGCGCGCGGATATAATTTAGAGATTCGGTAAGAAAGGAAATTTACTTGATGCATTGTGCAGGCCGTTAAGCGTATCATTAACATTAAATTCTGGCCCGTTCCGGTGCGTGCCCGGAAAATATACACCGCGGGGGACGAATTTTGGCACGCGGGCCTGAAATACTGTGCCGGATGCGAAGCGGGCCGCGTAATTCTGTATGCTCCGCTTCTCGTCGGAGGGAAGTTATTCGGCCGCCTTTCGCCTGTGTCGGTTACACGTCTCGTTTGGGAACGACGAGCTCCCTATCGGGTGCTTTCGGTTTTGGGGATATTGCTGTTGGTGTTTTGGATAAATCGATGGTTGCATTAGGTCGTCCCACAAGTTCCGCGACGTTTTAACCCCTTGGTCTGTGATTTATTTGTTAACTGTGATCGATACTGCTATTTTATCGTTAGTAATTTCTTAGGGGAAGAACGAATTTTGATGCTTATTCTATGTCTACATTTATTCTAAAGGTTATCGATCAATAATAGAGAAGTAATATAGCACTTAGATTTGTCAAATGCAGATTAACATTTTTTCACGAGTCTGACACGATATTATAGGAAGGTATAAACATCTTGAGATCTAAATACGTGCACCCTTCTGATTTATATAAACGAGCACAACATCGTTTAATAAATATTATTGATAATTTAAAAACAAAAATGAAGTTACCTTGGTTGTTCGAATTGTTGGTCTTTGAAAAGAAATGCTGTTTATTCATTTCGACTGAAACCTAATATATATGTCTAAGATCCTACAATGCATGTATCTTATAATATTTTCAGTACACGGAAGATAAAGTGTTTCAAAAAGTTAATTTTCTTCCAGACAGGTATGCTGTCAATTGTCGTGCCACCAGATTTTATTAATAAGGACACGTCGAGCGATGTCGTGGCACGCGAAGGAGGGCAAGTGAGTAAGCGATTACTTCCATATTATTATAAATTAATCCATATCATATGTTACGGCGTAACGACGGTTCCGTCGCGGAATAAGAAGCTCTCATCACGATTTCGTTGCGGCCTGGTTTATGATAGGGCGAGAAAGTTACAGCGTTAAGGGCGGTAAGTCAGAGCCTAGCTTACAGCCCGTAATAAGGGCCGGATTTGGAATTGCATAATTCGAAAATACCCCTGTCATAAACCGGGCAAATTTTTATGTTCCTCTTCCATGAATCGGAGAAAAGTCAGCACTAATTTCAACGTTGTAGAATACAAATCGTCAAAACATCAGTTTAGACTCGCGTAATATCATAAGTCGCTTCACTAGTAACAAGACTCATAACTGTTCTTACTGCGAAAGTAAAGTGAAGTTCATAGATAAACTCGAGATTTTCAACATCCACCCATTATACATTCAATATCCACTGGTCGTTAATTCAGCGAGTGATAATCAAACAAATTATTGCTCACACCAAAACATCATAGTAAATTTATAATTTAATTCCTTATAGTATTAATCAACTACTATAAACTTTCCACTCAAAGGAAAGAAACAAATAAATCAATACTAAACGCACACCAAGAAAAACTAAAATCAGCTGAAAAAATAACAGAAAATCCAAAACAAAAGGAAAGGCCGCGAAATGAAAAAATCACAAGTGATCGCAGCGAAACGCCGACTACTCGCATTCATATTTTTCATTACCTTTCATAGGACCAGAGTATCCTTTTACAAAATGTGCACTCAACGTTTTATCCGCGCATTTAATTCGAGAATCCGCGGCGCTTCAATCGGCCGCCGCGGAAACGAAAATTCTGCGAATATTGTTAAAGCATCTCAATAACCTGTTGCGCGTGTATACGTATCACGGCGGCGCGTGCTCTCAAAACATACGCGGCAGCGTAATGTGTAAATATTTCCCGTTTCACCCGGTTTTCTTATCAAAGCCGATGCCGCGACCGGCGCGCCCGGAATATTACGTTTCCCCGGGAACGAACGTCAAAAGCACTTTGAAAAGTTACCGCGTGTATTTTCTTCTTCGGCGATATTCTTCAATCGCGACAGACGGTTCGCCGTCCCGCCCCCGCCGCCCCCGCGGAGCCGCTCGTGCCGCGGCGGGATTCGCTTCCCGTGAATTTCAGTAATTAAAACTACTTCGCCTACTAAATTTCCGCGCGGGTACAATTAAAAAGCCGCGGAGAAATGACGACGTAACTCACCGTAATATACCGTGCGTTTAAGGGCCGAATATTTATGCGACGCGGGGAAAAAAGAACTCGCCGGGAATTTATATACACCGCCGTTCACAAGTATTTAATCCGCGGCAATATTTGCGGCTCTCGAGAAAAATTGGTAATTTACGATCGCCGGTTGTCCCTGGTTTTCTGCGATTCTGCGGAGGTTATCTTCGAGTGGGAGGGGGGGGACTTTGTTCGTTGATGGAGCGATTAAATGTTTGTGCGACGGTAATTAACACGTTCGCTGGCAGCGTCGGGTATTCGTGCCGATCGATGTTTCATATTTTGTGTGAAGAGTAAATTACATTTACGTGTTTTGATGGTACAATGCGCGGACACGGAGATCTTCTTTTTTAATTGTTACTTGTGCTTTGTGACGATGTGTTTTATTTAATGAGACAGTGTGACTGCGGGTATTGTTATTGAAAGACGGTAGCGAATGGGTTAATGTAGATTGTAAAGTAAATATAGTTTTGATATAGGAAAATTTCGAAATTTAAGATGGTAAACGTGAAACTAATCGCGTAGACAAATTTTGAATTGTAATATTTGGAATATTTTATTGTTTTAGATATAATGGTGTTGAAAACTATGCGTAGTGATCATGCATTCTTACTGATAATGTTACAATTCAGTTCCACTTCCAAAAATGAACATCGGTTCATTTCATTGGCAACGCTGCGAAATAGAAATAGAATCGATTGAAAAAATTTCAAATTTTACTCAAACGTACGATTTCCGGAAATAAGGATCGCTTCATTTTATTCGACGTTACGAGGCAGAAGTAAAATCGATTTAAAAAATTTCAAATTATACGAAACAATTCGATGCGACTTTCAAAAATGAACATCGGTTCCGGTAGCGCGCGGGCATAATCCTTTCCCCTGCTAACACAGGGGATGATGCTTATCAAAAATGAAAATTCCAATTCCAATCGGATCTCGCGAATTGGTCGACCGGTTAGCCACTCTGCGCGCCAGACATTGAAATTACCGAACGATAGGTTTCCATTCAGAAAATAAACACTTTTATTAACACTTTATCGTGCCGTGTCAGACTCGCGACAAAACGAAAGTTTGTAAATGTATATGTGTACACAGAATAGAATTCTTTCTCCTTTTGACGCATTGTTAATTACAAAATGGTTCCAGCATGCTTATGGAAGAAATCATAAGGCAAGGGTTAATGGCGTGTAGCTGAAGCACGTGAAATTAATCCCTTAAGAAGATTTAAAATAAGATTAACGAATACGGCTGTCGCAATTCTTCTGAGCTCAAAATGAATATTATTTTTTCTGATATTAATTACAGTGATTTAGAGTAAACGTAGACATGAATTGAGTGTGGAATTGTTTTCTTTTTTTAATTAATTGTGAGTAATGAAATAACTTGTCAAGCATAGTTGTAAAAGAAAATATACTGCAAGGGGTTAATTAAATCTTGTAATCATTACACGTATTACATCTTTACATAGGAACACGGAGAAATTAGGGAACTATATAATTTAACGTTTGGCTGTCAAACAGTCGATAATGTAATTATTATAATTCATCTCTTTGCAATCGAGAATTGTCCAAACTGGAAACTTTTCCCAAGGAAGACCGAATTGTATTCGAACTGTATTCGAATAAATAAATTATTCGTTTACAGTTTTGGATTTTAGAAATCAACGCTTGGAGTTACTGTTACAATGACACTAAAGGGAACAACTCTTTACAGTTGAATGGAGCTTTAACGGCGACTTTTGATATCTAAAATCGAAAGTTGCAAATGCATAATTTAATCGTTTAACTAATAAGATATTGTCCTATAATTTTCTTCCTTCTAATATTTAAAATTTTAACATTAAAACTACCAAACGGGTCAGTACGACCTATTCCTGATTTCCTCCTTTCTGCAATTATTAAAAAGGTAACAGACGTTCCTCTGGAAAATTAATAAGAAATTGAAAGAAGAATTATAAATCAATAAAAGTCTCAATAGATGCACTCTTGCAGTTTTCATAAAGAAATTTCAAAAGGTCAATTCAATTGCTCGGTAGTTATCGCGTTGATGTACAATTTAATTTTTTATTGGAAAAAACTTTTAGAAGTTTAAGAATTCTCGTCCGCGAACAGTTGAATTTTCAATTGATTCATTACTCGATGGACAAGAACAGCAAATCTACAGGAGCTATTTCCATCGTTGGTCGAGTGTTTATAAAAATCTCGTCGCTCGTCGGGAGATTTCCCTTCTCCCGCGATACGTTTCGTACTCTATCTGAATTTCAATGAGACGGGGGTCTAGAAGTTTTAAACTCGTTTTCTGTATCATCCCACATTTAGGATATCGGTCCGTGGCCTACCTGTGTCCTTAATTTGAAATTGATAAGGTCGTTCGCGAAGAAGCCAGCGCGACGACGGAATGGAGGAAATGATCGTCTCAAGGTGAGCTCGCAGGGAAAATCTTGCTTGCTCAATGTATTCCATCGAGAACGATAAAACTGCTCGGCTAATTACCAAAGAAAAACTTTAAATGTATCGCCATATTTGAATTTCAATTTCTCAGTTAATTTTTATTGTTTCTGGCAGACTGGCTTTCAATCATCTTTTTTTTACGTAATACGCAATGAATAATAATAATTATTATGAAGTTATTTACTATCAAAAAGTATTTGCTATTTTAAAGTTAAAGTATTTATTATTCTAAAGTTAAAGTTAAAATATTTGTTATTGCAAAGTTTTAATAATTATCATATTGTATGTAATTTAATGAGTAATAAATTATTTTATCCAGGATACTTTTTAATATAATATGTCTTCAGTTACATGTTACTCTTTTGAGCAATTGATATTCGATTTAAAGGCCTTTTATTATCGTTTGGCTCATTGTTATTTAATAATTCTTCAATGTCTTCGGTAACAAATTTTTATAATGCAGTTAAAACTGTCACTTCCACAAGAAATTAAACAAAATTCTATACTGACTGTATTGATTGATTGTATCGAAGATACTCTGCGATACGGTTTCGATATATCGGTTTCCAACGATTTGTCGCTCGTATTTTCTTATAGAACAGCCACCAACGCTAAATCTTAAATTCGCTATTGTTTAACGGTAAACTGCTTGAAATTCGATCAGCGGAATCCGATATTCTTCGACCGAATAAAAGAAACTTTATCTTCCTCAATGGAACGACACAATTAAATTGCTGAAGTACTTCGATTAACCCGACCGTTCAATCTCTTATTTGTAGGATATATTGCTGTTTCGAAATCATGTGGATCTGCTTTTTACCGAATTAATATTAAAACGCACATGACGGTTATCTACATTCTCTTATAATCAGTGTAATTATTTATATTATCAGATATCAGCACTAATGTACATAAAGAATTTGATTGTTTTAATATTTTACTCTTAATATAAAAAATACACTTAATTATTGTTGTTTCAATTACTCTGTCATTAAAAAAATTAAAATATCAATAAAACACTAATAGAATTAAATAAAAAACAATTTCAGTTCTCACGTGCCCACTATGATTAAAGAAATTTGATGTAATTTATCTCATTTAAAAACTTCATTTTTAGAAAATAAAAGATTCCCAGCATCAAATGACGTTACTGTAATACAACAATGATATATATCTTTTATTAAAAGGGACACATAAGAAATAAAATTGTTTTATACTTCATTAGTGTTTTGCTATTTTATTCTCCTCAACGACAGATCAATTGTAAATGCCAAAAA